GCTAATAATCTTTACCATGTTCACCATGTTAGTTTAGCATGCTAGCATAATAAAATTTGCTAATTAGCAGTAAAAACAGTAGTGGTACAGCTGAGGCTGATGGGATTTTGCAGGTCATAAACCAATATTGGGCAAATTAATTGTTAACCTAATTAACTGTAATTAAATGTTGACCTAATACCCTATATGAAATGGCAGGCGATCACCAAAGTCTTTAGAATTTTTCATCTTAAACATTTAATCAATCAATCCAAATGTGATAGAGACAATTCACTCAAAAGCACAAATGTAAACCTCACTGTGGTGCTCGAGGAAAAGTCAAGGGATCATCATATTTATTATAATTCGGCCTGTGGGGAACATGAATGTTTGTACCAAAATTCACGGCAATCCATCCAATAGTTTGGATCAAAGTGGTCGACATCCCCATCCCTAGAACCTCGCTGCAGGACTATGGGGTACACAACACATTGGCCAATGCCACATGTACTTTACTACTGTTGGATACTGTATGCAGTGTCACACAGACAAACACATTCCTTCAATGAAACTAGCTAACTGTGAGACAGAAAAATGACTGAGAATCTGCCAATCTTTCCATTGTGAGTGCAGTGCCATTTACGATGAACACCATGTCTTTCTTCCTCTCAGACAGATAATAGCCTTCATTCATCAGAACCCCACAAACGACAAGTTTCATCGATTACCATCTGACTGGGAAGGCAGAGCCACAGAGATGGAGGCTCAGTCTCAGTGCTGTCAGAACAGAGGAGAACGGGGCAGCGAACGCCCCGCAGAGGGGAAAACAAACTGAAAATCAGAAAAGGAGGAAACCGATTATCAACTCCCATCTATGAACAATACACTGAAAGCTCCATGTTTGGGCTGCTAATGACATGCACAGACTGGGAGGGGGTGGGGAGGTGTTCCTCCAACACAACCTGCCACATCTCACAGCCTAGACAACTGCATAACAGAGAGAGATTTACTCTTATAATGAAATCCTTTGCTTGCTAGTTGCTTAGCAACAAAAACACTGATTCATATGGCACATACCGTATGCGCCTGACACTGCATTTCTGACACTTTGGAGGAAGGTTGATTCTTGGATGAGAAAAAGAAGGGTGAGAAAAAAAAAGACAGGGCTGGAGCTATGAAATGAATGCTAGGAGAGCAAAAAAGGCGGAAAGGGGAAGATTGAAAGTGAAAGGATGACCCGTCTGTGGCTGACTCCCACAGAGTAGCACAACAGGTTGGTGGAGCTCACCAGCTTCACTTGGCAAAATGTGAAGAAAAACACAAAATCTGACTGCGCTCTTGTATTCACACATGAACAGTAGACTCTGAAAGGAACAACCTCATCCTGATCTTATTTTCACAGATGTATTTCTGTTGCATTTCTGTACATCTATAAATAAAACCCCGAATGCAAGCTGATGGATGCTTTTTAAGTATTGTGGAGCTGAAACGCTCAGCCGACTGACAGATCTTTGTGTTTATCAAGCAGAAATATTCCAAACACTTACTGGTTCTTGCTTCTCAAATGTTAACATTTGCACAGCTTAACTTGTATATATTTGGGTTTTGAATTGTTGCAATCTGAGGACCTTAGCCTCTGGGAATTTCAGGACATTTTAAGGACTAAAGCGATTATCTAAATAGCCAAAAAATATACCAGCAGATTAATCACAGATCAAAGTAATCAGTAATCATTAGTCGCAGCCTTAATTGTAACCAGCTTCACCCAAAAGCATGGAAATGATTCAGGCGTCTCCCTTTTAAAGGTCAGTACCACCCTGCTTGCCATTCCTCCTCTTCCACCCTGCCTGTCTGAGAGATGAATGCACATACATTAGGTAGAAAGATAAACTGCACCATCTCTGGCACCTTTATCAGCTACTCCAGGGTCGTCCTTTAGCGTGTGGGGATGGATACAAACTTTAAGATGTAGTTAAACAGAGCCTGTCATTGCTCCAACAGAAACGCAGCAAGATTTTTTTTATTTTTCCCAACGCAGGACTGCGGCCGGGCCTCGTGCAGATGGTGTCGTAACAATTGCAAAGCAGAAAATCTAGTGGCAGTCTGCCTTAAATGTTATGAAAATGATTTCTGAGGATTACACTGTGGCATGAGTGTTAACCGCCACACAGACCCTACAGATACACACCACTAAGAGAATGTCTGTTGGACATCCAACAATGTACGACTCATGTGGCAGCAGCTGACTGTGTGTCCTGAACGGCCGAAACTATTCCTGACTTTTGGAAACGTGTCAAACAAATGGTGCTGCACGGTTGACTGGAGGGTTTTAAAGCAGCAATAGTAATGACCTCAGACTATGTTGAAGAGAACATAAATTATGAGGGAACTATGCTAGGGATGAGATTTTTTGGACAGCTACTAGGCAACCATTTTTGACATTACATTTATGGTTTGTTTTAAAAGGGAAGAATCTGACTCTCTCAACCTTTTTACATCCTAAAGTTGTTAATAATTCCGGCTTCTGTCTATGCCTTCAAATCTTAAAGGGTGGGTTCATGTTTGTGATGGTCACAGCATTAAAAATTACTTTGAAAAGATTCAACAGCAACATCTCTTTATAGGAATTATCCAGAATAACATGGATGTTGTTTCTAGAGAGGCAAGTTGCTGCTTATTTTTTATTTTTTAAAATGTATGTTTTCACGGTTTCGGTAGCACTAATGAAACTCCATTCACCTCGACTGAATTTGGGTGGAGGCAGTAAGATATTTTAAAACCTCAGCAAATAAAACCAAAATGATCTGCATGACTACATACCACCATTAGGATTAGGTTTTTGTTTTTGTCATTTGGGGTGAAACAACCCTTCCAGCTGCTTGTATTAAATCTTAATCTGCTATGATGCATGTTATGCAAAGAGGGCTGATTTTAAATTCAACTAAAAAGACAATTCACATATTCACATATCAACTAATACTTCTGGAAGAAATTCTGTTTATAATCAGTGTAACCTGCTTGTGTGTTGGTCCACCAACAAGTGTCAGCTGCACTTACAACTTAAAAACAGCTCAAACGCACCATAATTCACCAGTGTGTGGTCAAAAAGTGAAGCTGTATCGGTAGAATTACATTTCTTTGTTATTGTATGTGACATTAAGCCAAGAGAAGCAGAGTTAATGATTCACTGTGCTCTCTGCGGATGGGGCCTTAATACAGATTTAATTAGGAGCCCATTTCATAAATCAAACTGGACACATTGTTGTCACGCACTGGCTGTTATACTAAACCCCCCTGTGATAAATAAATAAGTCTTTTTAACTGAGGTGTGGTGATTCGTGAAATGACCGGACGTACCTTCTTTTTGGCGTTACAGTGGCAGCACACAGTCCACAGGTATTTGAGAGTTCTCCACAGGAGGATTATGAAGAGCCCCCCAAAGAAAGTGACCATGGAGGAGGCGAGGAAAGCCCACCACATCCGCTGGCCGTTGCTGTCACAGGGCACATCTGGTGAAAACGGGATGATCACATTCATCTTGGATATGTGGATGGACGGGTCCGGGTTGAATTTCTCCCTGTTTTTCGACATTATCGGCTTCTGGTCACCCTGCCAGCCCAGCACCACCCCCCACCTCCCCGAAAAACAATCAACTAAACTGGGATTCAGGCGCTTTGGGGAGCTCCAGCCAGCGCCCCCTGATGCCCCAGCGGCTCAGCCATGTTAAGTCAGCCACCTCCCGCTCCTCTGCCTTCTCATCTGGCTTCACTGAGCAAAAGGGACGTAAAAAGTTGAGTCGACGGCAGACACGCGCAATAATAAAAACTTCCTCTTTTTGAAATCAAGATATCAGTGGTGCGCCTTCACCATCCGCGTTCATGGCTGGGGTTGCGCGTCATCCTTTGATCTGTGCGTAAAAATCACATTTTCTCGCGACCTGACAAAAACTGACGATTTCCCCTGACAGTCCCGATGGATAAAACTATAGAATTATTGTAGAGGAGAGGCGTGTTGCGCTCACCAGTCGATGGATGCACTCACTGCTCCACCTCGTTCAACAGCGCAGCTTTCAGCAGCTCCGCTACTTCGGCTCCGCAGCGCGCACTGTTGAATGCGCTCCCCGCGTTAAAGGCTCGCACTTTATCGATATCCTTTAAGGGAGACGTCGTTCAATTCAATTTTTTAAAAATGGTCGGATTCTTGAATCGTAGAGTAGATTTAGTAATTGTCGCTCCCCGGGTTCCGGCGGCCGCCTGTCACGTCCATTTGTTGGGAGATGGCAGATTTACAGGTAGCGGGGGAGGAGCCATCCATAGACGTCGATGCTTATCTGGATGTCTGGTTATTTATAGTGACCGCTTCATTCATTTTTGATGATTGTAACTTTGTGGTTACAGCCATCTTACTTTAAACTCTTAGTTATGCGGAGACACTTTCAGTCTTATAACGAATGAAATCCACTTTAAACTCCTTTTGTCTTCTCATATTAGTTTCATTAAATTATATTATAGACTAAAGTTCCGCTTTTTATATTTGTTCTGAGACGATTAACATTATATTCGGAAACTGATAAAAAAAGACACACAAAGATTTATTTTTGTTTGTTTTGTTATTGTTTTCCTAACGTGTCCGTGCGTACAAAGGGTTTAAAACACAAATCTTCCTGAAAGAATGAACGTAATATTTGTATTGTAAGAGCTGCTGCTGATGAAGTATTCATTTTAAAATGGTCGCCAATGTCAAACTATATGGACTTTAAAGTTGTTAAACAAGTTAAGGAACAGTATCTTTCTAGAACAGGCAGCAATGATGATGTGGTATGAGAGTGGCTGTTTACTCCCCCTGGTGGATGAAAACTGTATTGATCGTTGAGGTGCAACCTGTGACTTGACAAATATCAGCCTGCTTTATGAATCATCTTGCATCAAAAAAAAGAAGAAGCAATATATGTATATCTAAGCTGAGGATGGATCAGATGAGTAAACACCTATATTTTAATGTAAGACACAGACAACTTGCATTCCATTAACAGTACTTTGTTTTTAATATTTTATAGAAATATTAACCTTCATTAGGAGAAAACCTGACCTCTAAGTGTTTCATCCAACTTGAACATGAAATGTTGACAACGTGATCTACTGAAAATCCAAGAGGTGCCTGTGAATGTGTTCAGTTGACGGTCGACCGTGAACCAGAAAAATAAAATATCCCTTCTTAAAATTCCACTTGACAAAGAGGAACAAGTATTGGCAATACCAGTAGAACACACAAACTGGGACGAACTGGTGAAACACACCCGCTGTGTGATTTATAATAGAAGTTGTAGTGTTAATAAATCCAAGAATGGATTGTGAGATTAGCAAATATTTCTTAGCTTGGCACAGTATTATTTTTGAGGAGTGAAATGATGTCAAACAGAGAAAAAAAAACAAACAAAGACTGCAACAGAAGATGAAGGTAGGAAGCAAAACTTGCCCCAGTTTCTCCTCTATAAATAAGAACATTAATTGGAAAATATCATCCTTCCTATTGACTAGACAACTACATTTGTGTAACAAAAGGTTCATAACCAACAACTTTGATTTGATTAGATAAATTAAATGGCAGGAAAAATGCGTATAAATATAGAGAAGGGAACACGGTGGTCCACTCTATCTTCACTTCAAGAATAAAGTCTTCACTTTGCATCGACGCAGACTTCCTGTGGTCCGACATGTTCGTGGGACAAAGTGGGATTAAAGGAGTGCTACTAGATATAAGGGAGAATAAAACATTCAAGTATTAAATACTAGTGTAAACAAAATCTATCTGCAGTACAGTACATCACTATTGTAGTGGGAATATTACATGATCATCGTCATCAGTGCTGATATTGCTATATGTGAGAAAGCAGTGTGGAGTGGAGTTAACCATGATGTCTGTTAGATGTACCGATTCACTGTGTGTCCCATTATAAAAATCACATCTCCTCGAAAGTTTCCGAGTGACATGTGGTGAGAGGTGACGTTTCTACGGTGCTCCATCTGGGATCCACAGTACTTTACTCTGTTCCTGCTCCACGATGGTCATGATCTGAGTGCAAATGTAGGAGACACTGCCTCCTTGGACAACGCCTGCAACACAGTGAGGGTGGGGAGGAATATTTACATGAGGAGTGTTAACTATTTATGTTAGATTTGGCTGAAACTTTGCTTCTTGTATATGAAAACCTAAAGCTGCAACATAATCTGTCATTTTTTAATTAAATCGATTCATATTATATCATTCAAAATGTTAGAAAATTGTGTAATGATTACTTTTTTGTGATTATTTTCTCAATTAACACTGCTCATGATGGACAGTTTTGAAAAGAAGGATCAAAATCGATGCTTCCTTGTCGAAACCTGGTGCTTACATTACCCACAATGCAACTCATTTGCCAACAGTTCAGTCTGAGATTTGGGTGCGTGGTCCCCAACCCACATATATTGAATTTACTTTCACATAAGATAAAGAAAAGCAGCACATCCTAACAACTGAGAAGCTGAAACAAGGAAATATTTGTTTTTTTTGCTTGAAAAATGGGATTTTAATTTTTTAATTCCCAATTATTAAAGTAGCCACTAAATATTTGTCTATTAATTGACTCAGAAGGGTTACGGTTAATTATTTCAGCTCTAAACTCAAAGTTTTTTTTTAATAAAACAAAACGGATAAAAGCTTGAAATCCTTGATGATCAACTTTCTGTCAACCATCTTCTTCCGGAGCTATAAACAACCCCAATGTTCCATGGACAAACAGTGTCAAACTGTGCGGCCAAATAATTTTAGTCCTGGACTTTAGAGATTAAAACTGCAGGGGTGTGATCAGCTCCACTTGATCCCGTCTACCGCCACATACTCAGATTTATAACTGCTGATAATTACAGTTCTCATCAACACGGCTCGTGTGAAGAAGTTGGCCGGCCACCTCTCCCTGTTAGAAGGGATCAGCAGCGGTATGTGTTCATTTCCAAAAGCCCTTCCCCATAAATCTCCTCCTTTTATAGAGTCATTAATCAGTGGGACAGTTGGGTGTCTCACACTGGCTGCTGCTCCAGATACCAAAACTTTAACTCTACATACTCTGCTCCAAAAACCTCAGATGACCTCCAGTCCTGTTAGAGACTCACATTGGATAAACTAGATCATATTAAAATATTACATTTGTAAGTGGGTTTGCTCGATGGTTCTCTCGTCTCATTTCTCTATTCTAGTTTCTTTTTGTTAAAAGAAACTCTTGCTGTATAGCAGACTCTGGTGGTTCAACCTAATACAACTTGAGCCTGACTGATATCTATATTTATTTTTGGTTTTGAGATTTGTGATTGTGAAATTCAACTAGACTGCATCTGTCTCACAATTGTGCCAAAAGTTATGCCAGGATTCAACTACATTATATTGGCCAAATAAATCTGTGGGGAGGTGAAGCATCGAGAACGAAAATGAGCAGCAAGGACACTTTTCAGTTTTATTCCCAGACAACCAATTCTGTGCGTAGAATGGCTCACAAGGCACCAACAGAAAGGTTGGCATTGAAGTTTCTATTGTGTCGTGCCGAAAGACAAATGAGAAAGATAATACTGTTCAGTGTGGTACCATGATCATCTAATCTGATATAGTCTCCAAAGATATACAATGTTGTGTAGTCTGATCCAGCATTACTTGAGAATAATCAGCAGACTCCGGTCAGCAGACTGAGGACAGATCGCAGTGGGGTGCCTGGATTATTCTGAGGAAGTGGGGCATTGATACGTGGTTGCTTTGTTTTTCCAAATGTAAATTTTAAATGCTTTGACCACCACAAAACACCTGACAACAGCTGCATGCAGAGTCCTACAGTTTGAGTTTTGAGTCCTAAGCAAGTCATAATGCACTCTTCACCAAATGTAATGCCATTTTAACAACAGAGTAATAATATGTGCTCTTTTTCAGTTTCATACTTTTATAATGGGGGGGTCTACAAATAGGTGATTTAATGCTGTCAGATTAGTTTATACAAAGAGGATCTGGGAAATTAAGTGCCAACTTGGAATGAATATAGTTGATTAATGTAGATTGATTCTGGAAACAAAATGATTTAACTTTGGGCTTTGGGGAAAGGTATCGAATATTTTCAAGTCAAAAGGCTTGAGTCCAAGTGAAGTCAGGAGTTATTTGTGTTGCCAAGTAGAGTCTAAAGTAATAAAATTAATGATTTAGGTCCACACCTCAGCTCCGTCTGCATGTATTAATACCACTAGCACTACCTTACCACTAGTAATCAGAAAATATGTATTTTGTGATTTATGTGAACTAATTAATTGGTCTGAGGTGACATAAGGGTTAAAAAGATTTTTATTGTGTTCTTCAGCCCTTAAATGTTTTATTTCATCTTGTACTCAGTAGCAGCCCATTCAGTACATTTACACAGAGCCCTGCAGATGTCTCTATAAGCTCAAAACATTTCATACGTTATTACTGTAATTCCTGTATCTATGCTATCTTTAGTACATCACAGAGAAAATAAGCCTTTTCCACCAACCTGTGAAGAAGCGGCTGTACTCCTGCTCTATTTTCTGTGCCGCTTCATACTGCTCCTTGGAATGTTTCTGTGAAAGTTTATCCCGCAGGTACAAAGGGTCCTTCTGCTCTCTGAAGAGACAACATCAGCACCTGTCAGCAGCCTTGAAAATCTCACTTCACACACACACACACAAAGATTTATAACATGCTGCAACACCATGGTGTGCAAGCAGTCAAGTTTGTCAAAACCAGTTATCCATTTGTTCTTCAGATCAGATTTTTGAGATTATTTTTGATACAGTGTATATCATGAAGTATTTAAATAAATAAAAGTACATTTTCTGGAAATTGTATTGAGAACAACAAGATCGGAATGTCTGTTTTTGGGTGATCCAGTTAAATAAATACCAGGACTTAATCATAGTTAAGCAAAAATCCTGTAAATCCATTAAGAAATCCTTCTCATTAAGCTGCCAACAATAGACTTAAAGTAAAATTGTAATACATATAGTATAGCAAACTCTCTAATTTCTATCACCTAACCTACAGTGAGTCTAACAGCTACAGAGCTTTATGAGATCTCTCTTACTGCAAACCCTTTCAGCCCACTGGTTCACTCCATATCTGCACACAGTCTTAAGAACGAATCATGTGACTACTTGGTCCTCAGTCTACCTCTACTGGGAGCCCCTGACCTAACCTAGAATCACACTCCCATCTCTCCCTGGCACTCAGTATGCAGTCAACATATTGGTCTGCTGATGCCTCCCAGAGGATAAAAAAAAAAAAAGCTTGAGCTTCTGTCAGTCGCTGCAGCAGGCAGGCAGTGGGAGATGTGTGTTTGTGTGCTTGTGTGTATGCAGCGGCTGTGGCGGGTGGGGTCAGCAAATGTTTTAGCCACCCACGCCACAAAGCAGAGCCACAGGCCCCCGCGAGCTCTCCCTGGACAGCTGGCACTCAGCTGATAACAGTGGAGGCTTAGCAGGAATCAATCTCCACCATGTTTGCCTGCTGCACCACTCCACAGATTTGTGGGTGTGGGTGTGGGTGTGGGTGTGCGGCCGAGAAAGCCTGTTTCTGCCAGACCTGAGTGTGTTTTTATTTGTGTGTGTGTGTGTGTGTATGCACGTGCATAAAGTACCATACTGAGGGTTCAGCAGATTTAATCTTCCCATGCGATTACAAATGAAAAAGCAGAGGGATCTTTGAAATATCACAATCATCCTATCAAAACCCCGGCAGGTGGTGGGAGAGAGCAGGCTGTGGTTTCTGAACTAATGACACTGATCAAATCAGTTTGATCAATTAGTTTTGTTGTGTCTGCAGGATGAATATGATTATGAAAGCAGTAAGACTTCTGCAGATGTCAATTTCCTGAGTGTCTGTCTCGTTAGGGAGAAAATCCAAGAGAGAGTAATCAAAAATGATATTTCCTGGAAGGAGAACTGACATAAACGCAGATTTCTTTTTTTGGAGGAGAGAAATGTGCAGTTGAACATCAATCCTATTGACCAAAACATTGTCCTGGCAAGAAAAATCGTGTTAAGATGACATTTATACCAAATAATCTTCTACATTTGTGTGTAATTACTACATTTTTAATCTATATATATATATATATCACGATATATAATATTATATCATATATATGAATAAATCTTAATGCATTAACTGGCAAAATAAAACAGGTTAATTAAAATTAGATGCTACAGAAAGCTTCACATGTATGGTTAATGAGGCTTCTGCTGCCTTTTCCATGTTTTTTATTATTGCTTGAAATACTTTTGGGCCTTACAATATTCTGTGAAATCAACTAATTCTAAACATTATATTCTATAAACAGTCTTCAGACTGAAGGCCCTTTGAGAATTACAATGATTTTCCTCAGCTGTGTGTTGGTGGAGGAATCTGACATTGAAGTGAAGTTGGGTAAGATCAAACAAGCAGCTGGCACCAAAACAAAAAGAATATCGCTTGGACATCAACACTATCGACATGTTCTTCAGGCAAGAAACCAAAAAAAAAAAAAAAAAAGAAAAACACAACCCCTGAAACAAACACATTTTGAAAACGGACATGGGATTACTCAACTTATCATCGCTTGGCATTTTTGTAGCGAATAGAATATGCCGAATTGGGTAGATGTGAACGCTGTGGAAGGCGTTCGATGGCGTGGAGGGCAATGTCAAGTAAACAGTGACAGTCCTATGAGAGAAAATGACAGCAAAAGACTGCATGCAGAAATGGGGGATGATTCAAAGCAGAATGTTGCAGGAAAATATGCCAAATGACCTTACATTTGTTTCTTACACTGTTGGTTTTGGATACATAACTAACATCCAAACATAAAGCTTGCACTATTAGCTGCATTTTAGATTTCAAGGTGGCAGTTCAAACCATATTGTTCAAGTTATGCTTATTTTGTATCATAGACAAATATTACCCATGAATACTGATGCACAGGATGTGATGTGGTAATACCTTTATCATCTAGTATGGATTTAGCTCCAAGGGTACAAAGACAACACAATCTTGTCATTTATAAGAAACTCAACAAAGAAACCTGCTATCGACTTTCCTAGTTCACTGTTCTCAACCTTTTGTTACGGGTGCTACCACCTGGATGGCCTACAAAAAGCTGCCTCTAGTGGCACACGGAGGAATTTCTGAAATATTTCTTTGAATATGAAAAAACTTAGGAAACTAGAATACTATAAAAATACTACAAAAATTGAATGAAAATATTTAAACTATGGGTTCGCTGAAATGTAATTTAAAATAATTCCTGTAATATTAAGTTTCAATATCAAACTGCTTTGTAGTCACGTTCATGCATGTAGCACATATTTACAACCATAATTAGTCATGAGCTAAAATATGAAGGCAAGAGAGTCAGTGGATAAAACGATCGTGGCTCCAAACGGGAACTATTAGGAACAGAAGAGCAGGTTCAGGAGTCCTTTTCCACCTAATTAGCTCTGCTTCTTGAACCGGTTTCAAAACTGTCCGTAGCTGAATAGTGTTGGCCTACGCTACAGCACAACGTTGGTCATAATGGTGATAGAGGCTAATCATATTTTCTGGAGCTTGTATACAGTATAAAAACTCTGTGCGATATTTACCTTCTCTGTGATCTCTTTTATTGATGCAACAGTTGTCACATCGAAATGGCCACTCCTCCGTTTGTAGTCGATGAACACACAATCCTTTACTCCCCGTTCTATTGCCTGCTGAGATGCCTTCATAATCTCTGAGGTAAAATAAGTCAAATTGTAAAAGTTACTACTTGTTACATTAGTTTTATCATTTTCTAACTGGGTAGCTTATAGTAAAACACCAATGATGTGAAGCCCTTCATGAATGAATACACTCTGATAACAGACTTTTTTCTGTGTGTACAAGCTCACCAGGCAGACAGCGACAGAACTTGGTGGGAGTCTCCTTCACTAGCATGTCCTTACTGGCCTCCACTAATGGACCCAACACCAGCACTGGTCTGGGGGAAGAGCACTCCACCCTCTGAACCCGCTGGTACATCAGGCTCATTCCATCTGAGCAAAAAATAAAATAAAAATAAAATCCAATGAAATACAAACGACTCTACAGAGATAGAGCTGTTCTTTAATAACCACAGTTATGAATTTATGTATCCTGGGAAAGGTTCTGTGGAGCCTGCATGTTTTTTTATAGCACCATCCTGCTTTATAGCCACACTTTCATAACTGGGAGCTGCCTGACATATCGCTGTCTGACTAGCAGTAATTTTAGGTGTAGTCACATTAGTATGCACACACAGTACATTTGCATTCCCCATCCAGATACTTCTATCTGGTAATGAGACACAGAGGTGTATAAAAGTATATATCTACTGAAATAATGTACTTAAGAGTGATATTAAAGTATGGCACAGCACTATTTTGGAGTATTTGTTTTTTATATTTTTACTCCAGGGACAAGTATTTGTATTTTTCTCCACTACATTTATCTGACAACTACTTTGCACATTCACATTTTTATATTTTACATATTTCTTTCTCCTGGAATTCTCTCTTCCTCTTTCCTTCTTTTCAGGCCATAAACAGGATATACAAGATTTTCAACAACAGCAAAACCAAACGAGTCCCATTATTTACTGAATTTAGTATACTTTGCTGCAAATACTTTCTGTTTACTAACATTGCACATTTTGAAAGCAGGACTTTATTGTCATTAAATAAACAATGTGAATAATTCTTCCTCCACTGCTGTGACAAAAGTTCGCTCTGGAATCCACCAGTCTCGTTTTCTCATTACATTACTCATTAAAGCTCATTTCTCACCCTCTCCGATGGGTAAAGAGTCGGTGCTTATGGCGTCCAGAGCCATCAGATCCTTCCCATCCTTGGATCCGCTGCGTTTGTGTTTCAGCCTCCGCCGGAAGAAGGATCTCCGTGCGGCAGCAGACAGAGTCTTGTTGGTGCCGTTATCGTCTTTGTCGGCCATGCTGTGTCTCCTGTAGAACTCCTGGTCCATCCTTATGGAAACATATCCGCACATTCACGTGAATGCTTGATAAATATGAAAGACCTCATTTAGATTCACAAAAATTAAACATCGGCTGGACTTACATGTATTTACTTGGAATCTGCCCCTTTCCCAGCTTCTGTGCATTCTCGTCAAGTTGCCAGGCCATCCAGTAGCCAAAGTTGCCATTTGGTAGCGTATCCTCCACATACAGGATGTCATCTTTGTTAAAGCTCAGTTCCTGCTCCACCTCTGCCACCCGCTCATAAAGTGCTCTGACAAGAGATGAACAATGAAGCCTTTATGATGAATATATCCCTCTGACCTTTGAAGAAGGACATAGCAAGACTGAAAGACAACTTTACAGAAGATTAAAGAGCCTGTAAAACAGATCATGTGTTTAAGATTCAACACTTTTATAGATTAAATCACCAAAACGTGGTATGAATTTGTCTATGCCTGTTGTTAGGCCTCTTAAACACTGCCTAACATCATGTTACAGAGCTTATGATGACTTACATACATACTTGCCATTCTTATTGCCAGACTCCCTTGAATGCTGCAGAATCCAAATGTGCTATAAAACAACTGAAGTTTTGTTGAATTGTTTGATAAATACGTACCTTATGTAAAATCCGTCTCCATGTGACTCTTTGATCGCAGTAAGGTCATCCACGCAGTTCTGGACCTTGAATGTGATTGTTTCAGCTGGTTTCAACATTTCCAGGTAAGCTTCTTCTTTCGTTTTGTTCTTCATGTTGATGCCGTTGTACTGTTTGAAAACATCAATTACGTCGTTGACAAAAGGACACTTAGCTTGGCTGCCAACACAGAATGACTCATCATTTCCAGCAAAAGCAAACCAATGACAAGAAAGGGAACACAAAAAGTTATATAGAGGGCTTTTAGTAAGTTGCACTGCACATGCTTATATGCAACCAAATCTGCTAAAATAGAGCAGCTATGAGGTTCTTAGTTATTTAAGTGATACTGTACCTCCAGTATTAAGTCTCCAGGCAGCAGGCCATCAGGACTCTTAGCAGGGCTGTCGTCATCCAGACTTTCTACAAAGATGCCATACAGGTTCCCTCCACAGATCTGAACTCCCAGCTCTACTTGGATCCTCTTCAACCTCACCAGCCGAGGCTCTGCAGCCCGCCACGTGCTTGAACCAGGAAGCCTGAAGACAAACTTCACAGTCAAAATTTGATTCGGTCCGTACCTCCACCTAATCCCACCACAATGCGAACGCTTTTTAGAGTTCATGTTCATTGGCTGTAGTGACACAAAATTGGGAAAATACAAACAGAATATAAAACTAAACATAAAAAGAGCAGAATCGGTGATGTTCTAGTCCTACCTGAAGGAGCTGTGAGGGCTGGTGGCAGGAGTTGTCTGTTTGGACGGCGGCGTCATGGTGCCCTCGTCCTGCTCACTCAGTGTATCCACGGTGGAGTGATTGTCCGGGGTGGTGGCTCCGCTGTCTTGGGGGGTCGGCTGGTTGCTGATGGACTCCATGCGAGAACTAAGGACAACAGGAGCGCAGTCCAAATCTGTTCAAGTCTGTGCTAAATTATTTAAAGTGAAAGCTATTCATCAAGCTTCAGAAATAATGTAAATCTTTAAAGAGACAACACAAAGGCTGTGGCAGACATTAGCCAAACAGTGTTGTCTTGAATATTTACTGATGATATTTAACTGATATATGTAGAGTAGCATAACTGTTCCATTCATTTTCTCACATTACAATTAAAACTTCCCCTGGCCTTGTGCTGACAGGCCTCCCATGCCAGAACGGTTCATTTGATGACCTAAAGTTTATGAAACCAATCTGTACGTTACTGTTGTGGTGTTCTTACCCTGAACGAGAGTGATTGCCCAGCTGAAACATGTGAGGATTATACTGAGCCAAAATGGTGACCGTGTCACATTGCTGCCCGATCACCAGCCGGGCCTGCTGCTCGTTGGCATTTCGCAGGTTGATTCCGTTAAACTAGAAACAGCAGTGATTCGTTAGAAATGCAAAAACACAATAAAACACAGGCAGATATTTAGTTGAAGTGCTGGCTGCTGTACCTCGAGGAGTTGGTCTCCGTACTCTAAACGGGCTTGATGAGCGATGCTGCCTGCTGTCACTTTGGACACAAATACTCCCCCGTTCTCTCCACTCACAATGGAGATCCCCAGTGGTTCTGCTCCTTTCTGTACTGTCACATTGCGTGGCTCCTCCAAGTATGGCCTTCAGGGACAAAAAAGAAGAACATTTTGTACAACCTTAATGTTCTGACATTTGTGGGACACCAAGAAGACTCCTGCCACGATGCAACATGCAACTCTGAATAATATAAACTTCATCAAATACAAAACTCAAAAGAGAAGCTGTTGCCTGCAATGCAATGTATCTAGCCCCCGGGTTAAGAAAGTCTCGACAGTAAGATACTGGAGCTGTGTGGAACGTGCCAAGTGCGTTTCAGAAACCAGCTCAAAGTCATGCAATCATACAAAATTCAAGAGCATTCTGAATAAATAACAAGCAAAGAAAGGATGATGACTGCGTTCATATCTGCAGTGTGTACACACAAGGTCTTGATATCCGTGCTCTAACAGCCTTGCAGATAGTTCAGAGTACTGTATGTGCTCCAAGCAGCACAAGACAAACCTCAAGCTTCTTAAAGAGAGGAACTTGGGCTTAACTGCCAGTGGAAGTCTGACAGAGGAAGTGTTATAAGAGACAAATCTGAGAAGGAGATGGAGAGAGGAAAGAAAGAGAGTGAAGATTTCAGGTTATAATGAACAGCAGTAGAGAGGAAAGAGATGAGAATAAAATGATAGATGGAGACTGAGCGTTCTAATGATACGAGATTGAGGCTCACAGCTTTGTTTACTGCTTTACAAGCACTTAATCACAATGAAGCAGACAGAAGTACAGACAAATGGTGGAAAACACGTCGTGTTCTGCTGAATAATAGCAGCATAACGACCCGGAAGAGGGCTGGCCTACCCATCCTTCCGCCTGTCGCCAACCGGAGCGGGGCTGACTGATATCCTAGGCTGGGTGGAAATGGAGCTCTGTGATTGGCTGCTGGTGAAAGACGATGTCTCTAGGTTGACAGGGGACATTGGAGGTGTTGGGCTGCTGCACTCAGAATGTGAGAGGGAGCCTGGAGTGGCAGAGGAGAAAGGTATGGGTTGAGACTTGCCGTTTACTGCTGTAACACTCATTATCAGACAATGTAGCTGCTAAACTAAACCGTACCTCTGTCAGATCCAGTGGAGCGGGGATAACGAGTCGGAGGGATCTTAATGCGTTCTGCCCTAAACTGTGGAGTGGAGGAGTCTACAGACCACAAACACAGGAAATTTATTAAAAAAGGGTCAGTTCAGTGAAAATAACACAAATAAAAAATAAAAATACACTTTCTCAGTTGTCTATGGAGTTATCAAGCCGTGCAGATACAGGGTTTCCCCCCAGGGTATTGCTTAGTGAATGTGGTGAGCTGTTTTTGGCTGCTCTGATGAATTACTACAGTAATAATGTGTGATGTGGCCAATCAGTCACTGTCTTCTCCTGAGCTGAGTCAGACAGAGTGTGATGCAATTTGTGGTCAATTTAGTTGCTAGATGACAGTCGTAACAATGATTAAATATGTGGCTTTTGCTATCATGCTGCTGCCCCATTTGACTGATATTTCATAAAAGTTTAATTTCTTCTGACTTTGCACCCCTATAACAGTTTAAAAAGAAATCAAAATTGATGCCTTAGAATCAGAGATGTAATCTTTTTTAATTCCCAGGGTTCTTCTTTTTTGTCAAAACCTGGCGCCCACGTTACCCATAATGCAACTCTAACGTCTACAGTCTGAGCTTCATGTGTTTAATGCTAGTAGCGGCTAGCCTCAAGCAGAGATGAAGAGCAGGCTACAAAAGGTCTGTGGCTCATCCAGAGTAACTCTAAACATGGGCAAACAAAACTGCATGGCTAGATACCACTGGCCCTTTAAACATAAGAATATATGACATATCATTTACAGTACATGTTACACAAGTTATGAGTTGTCAAAATCTTTGGGCTCTATACGTACCCAGTCTGGTACCCGAGGGCAGGGAGTTGGTGCTGTGCGGTGGTTGGCTGCAGCTCGTCTCATTCAAGTCTCCAGCGTGTTTGTGGCTGAGGTCCAGACTGAGGCGACCTTGATGCTGGGGGCTAAAAGTGGAGAGAAATAAAGGCCTCAATAAAGTCCCCCAGCAGTCAATTGTTCAACCCAGAGCAAGATATAGTTTTCTTCTTGCCATCTGTTCATAAGATCTGGGGCAGGATAACCACTGTTGCTTTGTACAATAAATGCACCATCACAGGGTTTATTAAATCAATGTTGAATGTGAAAAAACCATACTATGGCTGCAACCAATGACTACTTTCAGCATCAGTTACACAATTCACTGTTAAATCTATTACATTTCATAAAAATAGTAAAATTCACAGAGCTCAAAGTGGCATCCTAAAATGTCCTGTTTTGTCCAATCAACTGTCAAGAAAACCCTGAATATTAAATTGACAAAGATATTAAACATTTTAGAAGCTGGAACCAGAGAATGTAGTTTTGCTTGATGAAAACTATCAGACATTTTTAACATTTAGTTTTGGCTGAACTCCATTTAGCTGCTTCAGTTTCCAAGGTCCTGGTATTGGGCATAATGGTTAACTGTCTTACTGAGACCCTTGAATACGTCAGAGTCATTAATGTTATTTGTAATACCTGCGCTTCTACTATAACAAGTCAAAATATTAATATAATTAGTGTGAACAACAAAAAAAGAAAGAGTTTGGGAAATGAATACACTGGTAGATGTTACCTTGTGTGTGAATGTGGGTGGACGCCTGAGCTGGGAGCTGGAGGACAGTTGTTGGTCTTGATCTCATGGCTCCAGGCGGTGTAGACCGGGTTCTTCATCACAGCTGTCACAGCAGGACACGGGGCCAAACCTCGCTGTGCTGGGTCTGGAGCAACACACACAGAATGAGAGCAGAGATCACATCAGACACAGTGATGAAACATAAAGGTAGGGTCACATTACATCTCTGTCCTTCGAATATTCGCTCAGTTTCCCCAATCAGTACTATTGAAGCACAAACGTCGGACGAATTCAAGCGCGCGTTTCCTGTTTCATTGGGATCTCCAGCCTGCTCTTGAGAACTCACAGGTTAATAGAAACACTGATGTACTGTGTATCGAAATGGAGAAGTTACTAAAGTGTTACTCTCATATACTGTTCACTCTGTGATCACCACTGATCAATATTTAGTTATTATCCATTAGAAAACTGGCATTACGCCCCTTTTTTGGGGGTCGACTGCAGGGAACAGTTTCTTGAACCGTACTGTAATGTGACCATACCTTAAGTCTCGATGCTAGTGAAAAAAACAAAATCACTTTAGAACAAATGTCAAGACTCATACGAACACTCCTGGATGTAAAAGCAAAACCGAACAGGCCAGGTTACTTACGGGGTGCGACGCTGCTGTAGCTGGGGGGTGCAAAGGGCATGCTGTACCGATTAGTTCGCATAGGAGAGAAGCGTAACAGGTCCATCGGCTCCGGAGAGTGCTCGTCGTTTGAAAAACTCTGTACCTGCGAGAAGCAATCAAACAGTTAATAACACACACATCGACAAGAATGCCAGATCAGATAAGGATAGTGTCTCAGTTACCTGCATGGGAACAGGGATGTGTAATGGAGTCACATTCCGCCGCAGTGCCGGTGCTGATTTTGGCCGGTACCTTCTCTTCCCCTGCTCCTCTGGCCTGCGTCGACTCCTCTCCCCCTCAGCAGGTTTCTTAGAACCGCTCTTGGTCTCTCCTGGGGGAGCATCGGTGAAATAATGTTGGTTCCCTGCCTCTCCCTCATCCTGTGGAATCGCGGGTTGGGTCGGGGAGGCTAGGGGAGTGCCGGTGATGATGGTGGAGTCTGACGCTGAGCTGTTCTGCTGGCGATGTTTGAACCTGAACGAGTCGCTCCTGGTTGGCGGGGTGGGAGGGGTCTGAGCGGATTCAGATATGGAGCTCTGAGGCGAGTGCTTGGGCAACTGAGAAAGAGACATGTAGTCCAGTTTTGCCTCTGGCCTTCTGAAAGCGCTCACATCAAAGATGGACTTCCTCTGTTTGGCTTTTTTGTAGATGGAGAGCTGGGCACACTCTGGAATAGATGCTCCCACTATGACTTTAGGCCACGTGCCTCCGCTGGGCTTTGCTTGTGAGCTCTGCACTCGGTCCACAGCGGTCTGAGGCGAGCTGCAATCAGAGAGCGCGGGGGTGAAGGTGAAGGTGCGGTTTTGGAGCTCCTGCCTCCTGTAACAGAAGTCCGGGTGGGGCTCTGAGGGACTGTGGGAGGTGGAAAGGGAGCGGGAGTGTAGGGAGCTGTTGGAAAAAGGCTTGTGGTGGCAGTGAACACTGCTGCCGCTGCTGTCCAGAGAGTCACCTGTATCTTTACACACTTCGTTCCCTCTGTCACAGCTGCAAACGTCTGTTTGTGTGGAGCAGTTGTGCTTGGAGCAGTTGTGCTTGGAGTTCCTGCAGTTCCTGGCGTGGATCTCACAGGACTGGAGCCGAGAGATCTTTTCTGAGTCTCTCAAACTTTCATATAAACTCTGGCCAGAACAACTCTGTGGGAGGAACTGTTGAGGAAGGTAGGCAAATAATAAATTGTTATTTTAAAATAATTATTTTTTTAAGTAACAAGAAATAAAAGCATAAAAGGATCACCTTTGAGGACAAAAGCTCAATGACTTGCAGTTGGATGTAAAAATGACATTTCATCCCAGTTTGTAAGATATCTAACATGCAAAAAAGCTAAAGATATTCCTCTAAACGGCCTTTTTTGATTGGGTCTGCTCCGTAGTGCCTGAGACTAGATCAGTGCCCCAGTTTTTAAAATGGTGTATTGTATGTCTGAGGACTTCACCTTCATGAGGGAGATGCTGAGAGAATCACGGCAGTTCCTCAGCAGAGACTCACATTCAGAGAGTGACTTGTTATCGAGTGCAATTCCATTGATCTGTAGTAAACAAAAACAAAGCCAAAACAAACTGCAGCAGTCACAACTTGCCCCCAAAGACAACATAATACAGATGGAGGAGAGGAATAAATAGCTACTTTTTCTAAATTTGACACTAGCAGAAACTATTCAGCACTGCAGTTTTGTTGTATTTCCTGCATACTAACTACCAAAACTGTATACTAAGAAGATAAATACATAATGCATTACTATGTAGGGTATATTTGAAACAAATCTCCAGTGTGTTCCTTGATTAAACGCAACCTGTGGTCAGTAGAGGGCACTAGAGGCCAACTTTCAACTGTCTCTTGGCATTACATGTGATTAAACTTCAGTTTCTGGGCAGCATACTCACAGCTAACAGTCTATCCCCAACAGTAAGAGCGCAGTCTCTGGCAGCTGGGCTGCCTGGAGCCAAAGTGGCAACAAACACCCCACTTTCCAGACCTATGCCACTGTCTGAGAGGTAAGACAGAAAAATAATCAGAACAGAAATCATATTACACGTCGTGTCCACCCATTCATCCATTCATCCATCCATCCAAAACAAAAACCTCAAATACACAATGAAAAACATCGATGTCTACTGTATTTAGTGTACTGGAATGTCATTAATTGACTGTTAAAAGCAGCATTTTAATGGTAAAGTTTAAAGTTAAACTGACCTTTGTGTCCAGCGAGGTTTATCTGGATTGGAGTGATAATCCGTCCTCCCAGTGACTTCCTTCTACGAACCACCATATTGATCACTCCCTCACCACTCAGTACCGCTTTGATCACCTGCTTCCTATCCTTATTTGTCAGGTCCACATCATTAATTTTTAACAACCAATCATTCACCCTGTACAGAGAGAACAGAGTGATGGTTCAATGAATCAAATCAAAGATTTATTTATTGTTATCTACTTTTTATAATCAAAATCTTTAGTTTTTCCAACTTTAGACAATAATTTGTTTAGGTAAACAGACTGCACTGAGCAATTTGCATATTTTATTTAAAAAGATAATACAATTTGCTTTATTTACAGCAGTGAGATATTTACCTTAGTCTTCCTTCAGCCATACTTCCTTTATCCACCTTACTGACAAATATACCACAATCTCCTGGTAAATAAGGATCATTTACCCCTTCAGCGATATCAAACCCCAGTGCTTTCAAATCCATATCCTGGATAAGACAAAACATAGCTAATTTAGTTACAGTTTGACAGTACAAAAAGTTATTTTACTGAAAATAACAAGCTCGCAGTGGTTCTTACTCTGTGCTTCTCAAATTCTACAACTTCCGTCTCCCATTCCATTGAGTCTGTGTCAATGGCTGAATCATGTGAACTGTGAGCCATTAGCTGACGAAACCTGGCTTCCTTTTCTAACTGGTCCTCCATCTTTTCTCTGCAGGAAACAAAAAAAGGTGTATCTCTTAAACAAGCACAGCCTTCAGAAGTGATGTGAACTTTGCACAGGGAGTGACATAATTCATCCACTGGGTGGCACAATAGATCAGGTACGAAATCTACATTGTGGAAACCCAAAACAAGAGGAGCACAGACTGTGACGCAGTCTGTGTTTTTAACCTAAAAATAGTGTAGAAGATGGCATCAGCCTGGCAAGAAGTTTAAAAAAAAATAAAAAATTGTGTGGAGGAATGACTCACTTTAGTTCTTTGAGTTCCCGTGCAGCATCGTTCTTCTGTTTCCTCGTGTCATCCAGATTTCTGAGAGCATCTGCCAGATCACTCACAGCTCTGTCCCTCTCTCGCCTCAGGTTGTCACACAGCGTACTGACAGATGCACACATTTTAATAATGTGTCACACAAAATGTAAACAAACCTATTTTTGTCCAAGTCTTTCTTCACTAACATGCAATGTAACAAACACAGACTCCTTACCGTATGCTCTCCCTCTCTGCCACTATCTTGTCCCTCTCCTGAAAGGCCCAGTCGCGTCGACACTTGGCTACCTCGGCCTCTTGCAGGGCCTCCTTCAGCTCCTGAGAGATGGCCTCGTACTGCTTCCTCAGTATATCGATCTCCTTGTTGGCTCGTTCCATGTCCAGAGTGGCAGAGTCTTGTTTCTGAATTGAGTAGAAGCAAATGTAAGATGATGAAGGTCAATGCACAATTGTACAAAAGATGTGAGCAGCAAGGTGCTTTTGATCCAGTATTGTGCTTGATGTTATGGTAGACAAGCACTTTGCTAAATTTAATCATTTTAAAGTTTGTGAGACTTTATGCTTTCTCCCCTGCAACAACTATTTCTGAGACACTTGAGGCTGTGTTCATCACGACATTAGCACTGTATCAAAAATTCAGCATCCTCATTAACTTCAGTGAAACCACAGCATTAGCTCAGCAGGGGTTCTGGTGCACAAAAAAAAAAAAAAGTTGTACCTGGCTCTACTTATGCTGCAACGCAATGTAACATCATCTGGCAACTCTTCACATTTGGCAGTGAAATACATGCAAACCCTCATTTGTGGTGAGCTGATTTATAAGAGTAAAGAGAGTAAAATCTAATGGTAATATCAGTCTCTATGCAGTGTTATAGCACGTGTTAAGCCTTCAAACTCATTGATCTATTGCTTAAACCGGACTTCCAGTCTCATTTGAAGCAACACACCCACAGCACTGAAGCCCTTTGCACTTTTCACCGTAGTCTAAAGGCTAAAGGCAGATCAATTTTCCAGCACAAGACGAAAACTCCCATATTGACTGACCTCAAGATGACATTTTTCATAATATTAAACCATAAACACCTCATATAAATTGCAGCAAACTAAAAAGCTTCCACCCATGCAGTCTTGTAAAGGTGGTTTGAGGCGTGACAGTCACAGATCGGATTAGGTAGTATGGTTTAAAGTGGGTCAGATGTAATATATTAAGTGTACTTCTCACTGAGAGTCTGCTGGTGTATCCGCACATGCTCTAAATAACTGTACAGTAGGGAGACTGCCAAGTGTAGTGAGAGCATTAATTAAGTCCATAGCTAAATTAATTCCATTAGACTTGTGCTGTGCTCTTGTTTGGCTTAATTATCCATTTCTGATGCGGTGCAGTTTTCTTTGTGCACTTCAAAGTCAGAGAGCCTTTTCTCTGTAATTGCTGGTAATTCCCTGATGCAGGAATCTCAGCACTTTCATTGCAATTAATCTGACAATCACACAGGAACAGTGTGGCAGCTGATATGCACCTTTCTCAACAAAAATCAATGTGTGGAAAGTCGCCAGCTGCTGAAAAAAACATTTACTACTACTATATGAGATGGGATGAAGGGATTATTGTCAGAGGAATAAATCAAGCCCTCCACTTGTAATGATAAATCTCCCGTCTGTCTGGCTACCTGTCTGGCCTGGTAATACTCTCGCAGCAGCTGGTCCCTCTGGATAATGGCCTCCGTCCTCTCCTTGCGCGCCACGTCCCTCTCCTCCCGCACCGTCTCAATGTCCTTGCAGGCCTGGCTCAGCTCCTTTTGGGCCTCGGCCTTGTCCTTCACCTCGTGGCAGTATTTCTCCAACAGTTCGTTCTTTTCACAGATGGCCCGGTCCCTGTCCATCAGTGCTGAAGCCAGCTCCTTCGTAACACACAAAAGCATGTCACAAGTGGATGACAGAGATCAGAAGTGAGTAAATACTCATAACTTTCTGACTTTTCTGTGTCACTCCAATAGATAAAGAGTGTTTATTTTTAACTTGGATGAGAATTTCGATGTTTAAAGCACTTTTTTTTTAATGCTTTTATTTTGTATTGTTTCTTCTACTTATCTGTACATAGGTATATTTCTTGTGCAGTTGTGACAATGCTTGAGAATCAATACAATCTTATGTCATCTCACAGAACAAAATGGGTGCTACAAAGAAAACTTCCTATCAGGTGAAGAACTGAGGATTACACAGACTTTCTTTCCCTCTTTTTTTGTAATAGCTGTCCATTTGTGTTGTCCGGTTTGGGTTTTATTTTTTGGCTCATCCTGAACTGTAGCCTTTCAATCCCAATAATGACACACGATTACTTTTTGGCAAGCCTAAATAAGTTCTGGGTGTTGCCAAAATGAATGATGACAGCAGCTAAAACCAGCTTAACTACAGTCGATACATTTGGAACACAGATATTATGCAACCAGTAATTATTCATCAAAAAGTTTACTTACATTATCTTCCACACACAGCATGAAAAGTAGCCTTGTCAATTTGAAGCAATGATCTCTTTTACAGATATGATTCAACAACATGTTCTCCTAGTCCTTAATGTTGAAATGTAATATAATTCTTACCTGTCTGAGAGCCTCCAGCTCCTCGTTGGCCACTCGTCTCTCTGAGGAAGTGTTCTTCAGCTTCGCCTCTGCCATCTCCAGCCCAGTCTGAAGCCGGTCCACCTCTTTGATCACCTGGTCCCGCTCGCTCATGATCAGGCGGTACTCGCTGATCACGGAGTCCCGCTCCTCCTTGTATTTCTCACTGTCTTTCGCCGCCTTGAGCTGCTGGGTCTTCAGTCGCGTCACCTCTGACTGTAGCCGCTCCATCTCGCGCTGCAGCTCCTTGTTCTGGGCTGCAGCCTTGGACAGTTCTTGTTGGGTGTTGTCAAACCTGTACCACATAGGGAATGTATTGGGTTTTTACTGCTCTTTACAAATATTCACCCTAGGCAGATGAATATATAAATATAATTAAAACACAGATAGGCAACAAGCAAGTGACCAAGCTTGAAATCTCAGCATCATAAAGGAAAAAAGTTAAATAGGAAAAGCATCTGCCCATCTGCAAAGCTTCATCTGCCTTGGATTAAGAATGTTTTAAGCACTGTGCAGATTTGACCTTGGCATTAAACTCAAGTACTGAGTTTGTAGCAAAGTTTGCGGCAACTGCTGTTAATCATTAGACTATTTTTCTAACAGCTGCTGAGTATGTGTGTACAGCTTTTAGTGCTGCTGGTCGTGTGTGTGTCTGTGTTATTTTCCACCTTCTTATAGACGAGGAGTACTGGTGCTGATAGTGGATGGCAGCGTCTCTCTGCTTCAGAAGCATGTCCAGCTGTTTCTGCAGCCTGTGGTTCTCCTCCTCAGCCTGGTCCAGGCGACTCAGGTCTGCGTTGTGACCAGCTGTCTTCTCGTTGTAGTGCTTCCTCAGAGCCTCGTAGTCACTCTTCATGGCCTCCAACTTGTCCACGGCTGTGTCATACAGCTTGTTGAGGACGTCAGATGACCCCTCTCTCATCACCTGGAAATGACATCATTCAGGTACAGTGGCACAGCTTGTTTCATCTATTCATGGTGCATTTAAATAAGGAGAATAAGAATGCTGCCGAACACTGTAATGGAGTGTTTCAATATAATTATGTTAAGGAACGATTTCCTTATTTCAATTTCATTTACATCTATAATTCAGCTTAGCTTTAATGTAAAGTCTTAAATATAAGTGTCTTGGCACAGAAAAGTTACCTCATCTCTTAAGTAATCAACTAAAGCTTTAGTCCCTCAGCTGTGTGCTGAGGTAGCAAGCCAGACTTAAAGCCAGATACTGTATAGCTTAGACTGCCTAAAACTCTTTTTGGCACTCTGGATAACAATAATAAAAATAAAAAAAAGAAAAGAAAAGCAACCTTGTTAAGTTTCACAATGCTTGTAAAAACATAACACCACATTTTTTTTGGGGGGGGGGGGTTCAAAGAAACTCTGTCGTATTTTGCCGTTGCTGTTTGGTTTAGTTTAGTTGTTAAAGTTGTCACTTTGAACTCTGGTGTGGATCCAACAAATGCACTGAGACCAGCTGAACAGGTGGGTCTCTCATCAGCTTCCACTAGTTATCCTGGAGTCCAAAGACTGTGGTGCAGTCAGTGGACAGGACTGTACGACATTAGTATAGATATGTGATATTAGTTATAAATTCATGAGCTAAACTACAATTCTGTGTACTCAATCTATGTGCTGATCAGGAAAAGTGAAGAAAGAGATACTGGGGCATTTTGGTGATATAGTGGAACAACACTGTGGTCAGTTTGATTATGATTTTGAGACCTTTGTTGCACATCACACCTCCTTCACTCACCCAATGCTTCCTCTCTGCCCTATACTGAACAACTAAAAGGTAAAAATGCCCCAAAAACTCTAAAATACAAAAATAATCCAAGAAACAGGGAGTCTATAAAATTACGTATGGTAACTTGGTGACACAAGCGCATCAGCAGTGCAGCACTTTTCCTGATCAGAAAAGTGATTGTGCCTCTGTACCACTCTACAGATTTTGGCAGTTTCTTATTAAAAATAAAATAAAATAAAAATAATCTGTGAAACATAATGGCCACACATCTATCCTATCCTTGATAATATTATAGTACAAAACACCTTGTTTTGTCCTGTTTCTATTGTCATTATTTATGACATCTAACCATCACAATAACCATTTTGTGCAGCGTGACAGTTACTTACTATAATAAACCTCATTAGATTTTCCCCTGCAGGTCCGTGTAGTGCTGATGGTGGTGCATGAAAGTCACCAAAACTGCCCAATGAATGTGATGTCACTCCATAATATATGAAGCGATATTATTATTACCCCTTGTTTTTGTCTGTTTTATGAATACAAATACAATCTTATAAGCCACAGTGTATTATTTGGTGCAGACCAGGTAAGTAGGCTTACCTCTAACCTAAATCCTACATACAACATACATTTCCTTCCAGATATATATATTTCTTTTTCTAGTAAATTACCATATAAGCATACCATATAAGTTATGGATAGAGCGTCAAAAAGCTAGAGGACAAACCAGGACATGTTTCACACACGGTAAAGTACAGTATGTAATATGTCACTGGCATCTAAAAACTACACAATAAAGGTCGACTTCAGACTGACATCACTGAGCTAATTTGATTCCTTATTTGACTGAAGCTGAACATCAGTTCACCCAATGATGACATGAGCTCTGAGGACAATGAGGCATGTATCTTTGCTATCAAAGAGCCATGTAAGGCATTTCCCAGGGCTATGTAAGCTATTGCAAACATTTAATGATCTGACCTTCTGACTGAATGTCCGTCAGAGGAACAGTGAAAGACGCAGGTTAAGTCATTTGTCTAATCTGTGCGAATGTTTTGACTGACGGAGACACGGCCGGACAAACTTGTCTGACCCCATTTCTTTGAACGATGTCTTGGAAGTAATGGTCACCGAGAGAGAAATACATTGATTTCTGTCTCAAATGTCAAGATCCGAATGATTGAATCTCCAGGGCAGTCGGAGACGGGAATGTGCGAGTGCTACAGTGTGTGCAGACAATATGCACCTGATTATGTCTATGAATGTATTCTCATTCTCTGTAGCTGTATAAGCATGAATGCAGATGTGGATTAATTCTACAGGTACCTGCTGGTGCAGCATCCTCATGTCTGCCACCTCTCTCTGGTCATCGTCGTGCAGCCTCCTCAGCTCCTCGCAGGCCTGCTTAACGTGGTTGTGCTCCCTGACCAGCTGGATGTTGTCCTGTCTCACTGCCTCCAGCTCGTCTTTTAACTGTGCGTGCTCACTCGCCATACGGCTCTGCAGCGTACTGAGGAGATACCAAGGCAAGTAACATCAGACCGTAGGCACTGCCAGCCATGTTTAAAATCATCATTACAGTACTTGTAGCCAAGGGAAGGTATGACTAGGCCTTCTGAGTCACAGACCAACAATTACTCAACAAATTATTATGCAAGATGCATTGTTTACTCTACAGAACAAATGTCATGCCAATCTTTAAGTTGCTGACAGTCCAAAACCCAAAGATATTTGCTTTACAATGACATTAAACTGTGAAAAAAGCAGAAAATACACAATACTCACTCACAATACAGAAGCTGGAAACAGATGATATTTGGCATTTTGCTTAAAAAACTACTTAAATGATTAAGTAAATTTCTATTGATTACTGTAATTTCCTTCCAATCAACTAATCATTTCAGCACTCTTTAATTTCTTTAAATTAATGGACTCTGACTCTTTTTAGATGTGTTCCACTAAAGCACATACCACTAACTTGTTAGGCTCTTATGATGCTCAGTAGAACAGTAGATGAGCATGTTGGACTAGCACACATCCAACATGCTCATCTACTGCTTTATCTCCACCCTTCTGTAAAAATCAATGGTTCTCTCTCAGGCACCCTGATATGCAGTAGTTAGAGACTGTGGAATAAAATAATTACAAGGTATTTATATGAGTATTGTCTCAAGACGGTCTTCACCCCCCTTCGGAGATGCTAATTAATTTATGGCATTATTAACAGTTAAAAAAAGCCTCTTATGTAATACTGCTCAACTAGAAACAGTACAGACATAAATTACTACCAGGACCAATACAGTTCTCCATGATTACTGAGTGCTAATGCTAGCCTATGTGTTAAGTGACTTATTGATTTCAGTACAATGTGATTTCCCATTCACAGAGGATGGTGTTTAGTGTGAATGGATAAGTGCAGAGGCAGACAGGACAGTAATAAATAAAGACTCTCTCTGATGTGCAAACAGGGTCCAGAAGGCAAGGCTTAAACATGGCAATAATCCTTCATCTGTCTGTTTACATTGGGGCCAGATGTTGGTTCCCTACACTTTGGAGACAGTATGGCATCACGGAATCACACAAATGGACTGGCCTCCCCTTCACGTCAACTTGCCACAGCTTATTTCACGGGACGACAAATGCTCTGTTCGTAGCATTATCCTCATGGCACAGATGCCGTGCCATGCAGACAGGATTCAGATGGTGATGATGATTACAGAGCCATGCTTTGGCATGAACTCTTCAAGGGCATTACTTATAGAGAAGCAATTCAGTCTTTTCTCAACCTTTGGTCTGAAAAGACGACTCGGGATTTATACTGCTAAGAAGACAATGAAAGCAGTCTTTTTTTAATAAAAAAGATGAAATTAAATTGATGAAGGGCTGCGAGGATTTTTTTTTAGGCTTAACTCATCAGCTTTTGGACTGGTATAAAGGCTTCATCCCTATTACTCTCACAAAAATAAAATCTGTTCTATGCAATCTGCTGTGAATATGTCAGAGGAAGAACTGAATACCAGCTAAAACCCTGCAGGCCGAGCACAAATGCATACAGCACAAATGCGCCAGCTGTTAAAAAATTTACAAAAAAGGCCCTGTAGTAGGCTTTTCCACTCACTGGTAGAAGTCTGCTTTCTTCACAGCCTCCTCGCACCTCTTCAGGGTGGTGCTGTGCTGGTTCTGCAGGGATTGCAGGTCTGCCATCGCTTTCATGCACTGCAGCTTCAGACGCTCATAGTCATGACCTGTTTTTGAGTTTGGTCTATTTCACAAAGAGGGAAAAAGGCAGACATAATTGAGTTTTAAGACGCCACATGGGAGGATGAAAGAAGGAAGAGCGGGATAAACATCATACAAACTTTGTGCCTATGTGAATACGAGAGGTATCATTAAAATTGTATGCTTACCCCTTGTTTTACAGAGTTGAGCATATTTTGCATCGCGTAAGACCTACCTCGCTTGTGTTTTTTGTTGCTTTTAAAAGTTGAACAAGGCAAAAAGCCTCTATTCACAAAGTGCAGGTATACACAGGATCACTGCCCTTTTCTGTAAATGTTTGTTTTGGAAAACAGGCACTTAGGTTCACGAGATCAGAACAGTACCTGCAGTCATCGAAGGTGGTTCCAGGTGAAGAGAGAGCCAGACGTTTACGTAGTTCGTCCCTCTCGCGGGTCACGTGTCTGAGCTGGAACAGAACCGTCTCCATCTTCTCGTTCACCTGGTGGCTGTCCATGTGGGCGGGCGGAGGGGAGGAGGCTTGACCGGGCGTACCTGCGTGAGTCAGCATGTCACTGGTGGCATGTGCCGTTCACAAAGCTCAGATGATGGGGGAATTAGTGCAGCTCCATCGATTTCTTAAAAATGCTCAATCAAGCTAATAGATTAAAAAATAAAACTGACACGTGCTCTCAAAAAAACTCCAAAAAGCCCATGTCCTTTTTTCTTTTTTACTTTTTACTGAAAACTAGAAAGACAAGATGAAAGCACGGACAAAAGACCAGTGTACTCACGAGTCCGAACTTATTTGGTTTAAACATTAAGCAATCACAAGCAAGAGCTCTTTGTTGCAGCTACTGGACCACAAATCGACAGATTCATTTACAGTATGTAACGAGAAAACACCCCTTTAATCATTGCTCACATTTGTGCAGCCAAAATCAGTTTAATATTCTACTTCATTATTTATCTACCTCATTGTTGTACTCATTAACCTCAGTACTTGTGAATATATCACACAGAAATCCCCCCCCGATAAATCCAAGCTCAGTTTCCCTAAGAGAATGACTAAATGAAACAGGTCTGTGTGTTTGTTTGTTTGTGTGTATGTGCGTGCGTGTGCGTTTGGGGGTAGAGGTTTCTAAATCCTTCTCACATCTGTGTAATCACTTGCATGTGCTTAGAGTCTAAACAGGCAGCAACCAATGACTGACTATTTGACTGAACATTATCTGCAGAGTATGAGTCTAAGGTTGCATCCTTTCAACATACTCGCTTTTTCCAGGAAGATAATGTTCTTTTCTGACATTTTCTACACCTGACACCTGAACACCACCGTGAGCGCCACACTCACCTAAGCTGCTGAGAGAGCTGCTGCTTTCGGAGTCCGACGGCATGGTGGACAAGATGCTGTAAGTGGACCCTGCGAGGCGAACAAAAACATTAAAGTCAGCTGTGAGTGTACTCGACCATGTCTGCATTATAGTAAGATGATTATCTTCAGCATTGTATGGTACATCAAGGCTCTGTGGCTTAGGTTACATTCAGGGGCCTTTACTGAAAAAAGGCCAGCTGGAGGCATAATAAGGTGGGACTTTCCCCAACTTGGGATGACGGGGCTGTGGGCTGACAGCAGAGTGTGGCTAATTATCAGTTGGGCAGGGAGCTTGAATACTGACTAGCCAGGGCCCCAAAGAGGCTGCAGCCTCAGAGCTTCTCCTTTTATCTCCTCTGACAACATCACACAGTTCCCCCTGTGAAAGCCCCTTCTTTTATAGCCTACAGTGATTCATAATTAACTGTACAGAAAGGAAGCCTCAGTACAACACTGGAAGTATTACAGAGAGGATTGTGTTATTTGAAAAAGCAATGTTAAAGTAATTGATGATTGTTTTCACCATTAGTAAACTATTGATTACTTTTTCTTTTGTATTTAATTAAAGCCACTATGTAGAGAATTGTAATGTGTTTATAGCATTTTTCATATCAGTCTGAGGGCATATGTCCTTGAGAAGGTAGAGAAATGTAATAATCATGGTAAAAACTGGGGCAGTCCGTAGGTAGATCAAAATAGTGGACAGCAAATTTTGGAAATAGCTACAACGAATATATTACATATCTCAATTAGAAATAGTGTGGGGCTGGAAATAACGATTATCATCATTGTTTAATTGTTTATTAAAGTCTCAAATATCAATGTCAGCCTCAATCATCCAGTTTTGAATTTCTCAAAACACACTGAATAATCATTTAATCTCTAAAATGCCAGAAAACAGTGTAAGTCCCGGAAATGTGTCCTGTAAAAACAGAAAAACAGCAAATCTTCACGTTAGCAGGTGAAACCAGCAAATGTTTATTAATATAAACTATTTCTATATTGACTCCATTTTTGTCCGTCAGTGTTTTGTTGGTTGATTTGCTTCGACACCACTCCAAAGTCTTTACTCTTTTAATCCAATGTGAATCTAATAGGCACCTCCACACATTTCCTCCTTTGGTGCTTAACATGTTTAACAGACTGCACAAGCCTTGATCAAACAGCCAGCAGTGCACATTTACTGAGATCTAACTTTGCCGTGGGACGAGCAGCTTATAGTCCGGTTAAATCAGCAACTTCCTCCCCTGATGTAAAGGCTAGGGGCTCGACTCGGAGCGGGAGCATGACAAACGATTCTATTTACCCACGTCTCAGTACTCTAAATCAATCCCTGGCTGGCTGTGTTCCCACTAGCTAAAGGAGACTATGAGTTTGATTAAGACTGGAAGGAGCCCAGCTAACATGGCTCACCCCTCTTTTTCCCAGCAAAGGACTGAAAGAAAAAAAAAAAAAAAAGACTGATGTGCCTCAGGAACCGTGGCATCCCACGGATCAAGCTCTCTTTGTTCTCGCTCTAGCTTAAGTTTCCCATGACTCTGTTTGAGCAGAGAGTGTCTCAATGGGCAAGGTTCACTGTGTCATAGCTCACTCACTTTTCTGCTCCGTGGAAGTCATGTGACCTGGACCTCGCTGTGGGTCTGACCCTCGCTCAAGTATCTCATTTGGTGTGATCTCTTTTCAAAAGTCACAGCAACTCTGTGGAAATGTTCTGTCCTATGTTAAAACAATTCTCTCAAAGCTGAAGACAGGAGCAACAACAGGGAGTGCTGATATCTAAAATGACATCTGGTAATCTGCTCCACTGATAATGAATGAGAAACACCATGAAAATGGCTCATGTTCTTACTCAGAGCCGACTCTGGAGTTAAAAAAAAAAACATTAGGGTGTAAAAGATCAAACACTTTTTATACTGTATGTGTCATTAAGGTCACATGTCTTATTCAGTGATCCAACGGGTCCAGGAAGTGTTGGTTGATAACAACACGGAGGAAGTGATAAAACAAAACTTTCACTGATAACCGATACCTGTGAATTCATCACCATTTAAAAGCTGAAATCTCTAGATATTTAAGCAAAAACAAAGTTATGTCAACCTGTTGATGTTAATATGGAGTGACAATCTGACCAGGTGAAGTATGAGAGGTTATTAACTGTACTGATGAAATAGGCCTTTTTCACAGCAGACATTTTGACTGGCCATAGTAGGAAGAGCACAGGTGCTATTAACATTAACTTTCTATTGAAGAGTCTCAATAAGACACGGTGGTGCATCAGTGAGCAAGCGTGTGCAGTTTACAGTGCTGCGATTTCAGCAATCATTATGTTTTCACCTCTGTTTTTCCTCTACTCTAACATGATAAAAAGATGACCTTGGTAACCTGTGAAAGCCTACAGATTGCCTACCGAGAAGCTTTACACACCTTTTTTCCACATATGCACTGTATTCCACGTGCCACTTGGTGCAGTCATTAATTGTCTTTGTGAACTCTGGTGATCCTTTTCAACTAGCCCCCATCATCAGGTCACAGTTTCAATCTCAAACTTTGGTTTATTTATCTAATAGTCTGGATTTCTTTAATATGAGCAGTATAACCACATACAGTCACAATCATGGGTATGAAACAACTAAAAATCATTTTTGATTCTGCAATAAAATGCAAACTAGTGTCTGTCTTAATTGCCCATTGCAAAAACATGATTGAAACTTCTTCCCCCCTTAATAAGGAGTGAAGGAAATGACAAAGAAAACATAAGCTACTACCTACCATCCAGTCTTATGTTGCAGTAGCCCAGGACAGCCAAAGCGAACACGTCACGATACACACCCTTATGATATGCTACCGTCATGTTATTGTTTTTCAAGAATAGGCTAGAACACTCTGTAAACAAAAGGTCAGGTATACAAAACTATAGAATATCTTGGTAAAAAAACAAACAAATGAGCCCTTGGGGATACACACCTTTTTAAGTACTGTGCAAGCACGCATCATATTCACATCACAGTGAAATTCTTGCAGCTCGGTGATCATTTCCACGAGCTACTTTTAGCATCTCGGCTGTTGACGTGGGACTGCCTGCTGTGTTTAACTAACAAACATGCCCTCCCTCTTTAACACTGTTTTGATTTCAAAGATGATCTCGCTCCCTCGCCCCTCTGGGACTGTGGGTGACTGGGGAGTAGCTCGGCCAGGCTGCTGACGGTGCACATTATTTCAAAACAGGCAGTAAGGAGCTCCTGTTTTAGCGGGGAAAGGCCCTTCTTTTGGCTGTGCAGTGGAGGAACCTGTCTGCCCAGTAGCAAGAGGCAGCTCAGCCCATTTGCGTCCTGTGTGACTACCAACAAGGAGCTGCAGACTACACCAGACTAGTAAGACCAACCCAGAACACGTTCATGTGCAAACCTCTTCGGCAGCAGGAAGCCTATCAGTTTTAGACTCGGTGCACGATTGTGAAATGCGGCGCAAAAATGAAAAAGCTTAGAAAAAAAATGGACTCACTCTGCAGCTTCGGTTGTCTTATAAATAATGAGGGCAGAATAAATGCATAATTAACACCTCACCATTCAGCTCACTGAGTATGACACGATAGCTGAGAGTGAACTAAATAACAAGCAATGCAAATGTTGCTTTTGAAATGCAAAAGGTGAAGTAGAGCAAGGGCCATGTGCCATTGCTGCTGCTGCTGCTGCTGAATATTAGGTAAACACAGCACATATGAATGAAGGATTTAGTCCTCGAAATGACACATTTTATGGCAAATAATCACCGGTTTGGTGAATTTGATGACAAATGTATTAGCATCATAAAAAGAGCATTTCTGCAGCTTTAGGAGTCAGCTGTGAGGAAGAAAAACATGTTTAGAGGAGACGGTGGCATATTTTTGTGAGCAAACAGGACTAAATGATTCTCATATTACACTAAATAAACTGCACAGAAGAGTAAATACATCCTAAAATAATTAAGCAGGAGACCTATGTGCCATTTTATCACTGTATCATCTGCAAGAGGTTTCAATGCTGATGAGGGTGAAATAATAAAAAGGGATGAAGGTGGAATTGGCAGTATGTCAGAACATTAAATCTAATGTCTATGTGTAATGTAGCTATTTCTCAGTTTACCACTAAAAACAAAATGGTGGTAAACAATATGATACAATATGTAAACTCTCCAGACCATTTTTATGTTAGAGTAGAATACTAATGTAATACTAAGCTTGTTGATCTCTGTTTATAAAGGGTTTTGATGATGTAAAAAGGTTATTCTGAATATATTTTACTACAGAAACTGTACTGCAGAGTGCTGAAATAGGTCAATGGTAAATTGATTACTTGAGTTGCCAAACATTTGCGGTTTGCAGTTTCTCAAATGTGAGGATTTGGTGCGTTAGAGATGAAACGATAAGTCACTTAATAGATCAATAGAACATTTAGCAGCAGCTATTTTCATAATCAATTCATTGGAGTTATTTTTCAAGCACTTCCTCCTCCTTATGTAATAAAGCAAGTATGTTTGGGGTTTAGGACTGTTGTTCAGATTAAATAAGCTATTTTAAAACGTCACCTTGGGATATTTTTTCCTGACATTTCAAGTAAATAAAGAAACTAATCAGCAGACTGACAAAACAATAATATTAATAACTGCTAGTCACTGCCTTACAAGCAATTTGCAGGCATCGACTGGGCTTCTGGGATTTATGATTACCACCGTAAAACATTTTCTGGCATTTTATGGCCCCAACAGTCACCAACAGATTCACTGATAATGAAAATAATCGTTAGTTAGTTTTGTACCAAGACACAAATGAAACTGCCATCTTCCATTCTCCACGATATTATCATCCTGCAGTCTACAGTGTGCATTAACGCACGTTTAATTATTCGCTCATTCATTTGACTTTGACAGTGGGTTATTGATTCTCACACACACACACACA